GACTGGAGACATTGTAATTTTCCTGGCAAAATGTTCCTTTTTACTTATTTCTAACCTAGTCAATGATACTGGATAGCAGCCCATTCCTACTTTAAGTCAGATTAACGTTTGATGACTTCAATTTGTTGTATTCAGCTTCCATCTCGTTGTTAATGCTTTATTGCGACAACAGATAGAAAATGAAACAGATTTGCTCGGATATTTTTAAAAAAAAAAAAAAGGTCATATGATGGCGCAGAGGACAAAGGAAAAATTTTGATAAATAACATTTTCTTTTTTTTTTCCCCTTTGGGCGCCTCCTTGTGAATCAATGTTTGGGAGCTCAATTTTTGTTTTACTTTGGGGTTTTTTTGGGGGGGGTTGTTGTTAACCATGAATAATATCCAACTTGACTACTTCGCTGACCCTACAACGAGGCAACAAAAATTACACTGATGGAAAACTAGAAAAAAAGAATAAGTATATGTTTTTATTGTTGTGTTGACGGATTCAATCATTTTCTTTTGATTTCTTGATACTGTTGTGTCCGTTTGCTTGGGAGAGTAGTAATTTTGTTAGGAAAGGTGCAATAAGGAAAAAGCCTGGGCGTAGATTAATATTTGGATAATATTCAATAGCGGCACTCTCGAGGATTTTCCTTCTGAGTGAGTTATTTTCTTTTTTTATGAGTGTAACGTTTTTAAAATCAAAATTGTACTTGAATTTATTTCTTTGTATGACTAGTGTATTAGCGAAGTTGTTTATTGTGAGGTCACTTTTGTGCTCATAAATGCGTTTTTTTTGTTAAAATTTCTAGTTGTTTCTCCAATATATTGGGAGGAAAAGTTTTGGCAATTTATTTTATAAATGTCTGCTTCAGAAATGTTATTGCTATTAGTGTTTGAGGATCTGAGCATATCCATAATGATTTTGGAAATGTTTGTGACTATTTTAAGATTATTTAGATGGAATAGGTTGCTCTGGATAGTGGACGTGATAGAGTTTGTCGGTAGTATTATGTATCTGTTTTCATGTAATTTACTATTGCGGATTATGTTATTAGTTTTGTTTTGGTTGTAAATTTTGTATGCCTTTCTTCTTGCGTTGTGGATAAAATGATATGGGTACTGTAGGTTTTTGAATGTTTTTTTTATGTATGTTTCTTCTTAAATAAATATTGGGGGCTGCAGATTCTTAATGCTCTCAGATAGAAACCTATAATAATTCCAGATTTAATTTTAGAAGAATGGTTTGAGTAGAAACTGATCAGATCATTTTTGTTTTTAGCCTTTCTGTAAACGTCAAAATAATAACGAACTCAATTTTATATATATATATATATATATATATATATATATTTCAGCCACAGACAGACTGTTTCGCTGTATCACAGCTCATCAGTGTGGCTAGACGTCCGGTTGCCTCTAGCTAATATCGACACCCGACTGAACTGGCGTCAGTCGGGGATTCTACCACTAAGCCGTTGGTGCACGGCAGGAATGAAGTTGAGTTTAAGCGTATTTATTTTAGGTAAACACACAGTGATTGAGAGAACTCGATTAGATTTACCGAAGAGTCTTGCATTATTAGCCGTAATATATACTCTATTATTTGGTCTTCTATCTATCTTTATTATTTTGCTATCTTCTTTATTATTTGGCCGGCCAGCCATCTATCTTTTTCTCTAGATAGATAGATAGATAGATATGAGAAGACTAAGGTATATAGACTGATAAACAAACTCAAGTAGATAGATAAATATGAACAGACACAACTAGATAGATATATAGATAGATATATAGATAGATAGATAGATAGATAGATATGAGAAGACTCAGGTATATAGACTGATAAACAATTTCAGGTAGATAGATAAATATGAACAGACACAACTAGATAGATAGATAGATAGATAGATAGATAGATAGATAGATAGATATGAGAAGACTCAGTTATATAGACTGATAAACAAACGCAGGTAGATAGATAAATATGAACAGACACAACTATATATAGATAGATAGATAGATAGATAGATAGATAGATAGATAGATTTTGCAGTCCCTTACACTTAGAAATAACTTTTACAAACGTGTTCTCCTATTCACATTCTGTTGAAATAAGTGTATAGATTGGTTGTTCAAGTAGAAAAATTTCTTTTAAGAGAAAGACTTTTTATAAATTTCAAACGATAGTTGCTGGCTGCTCAGTCAATGAATATTGAATATTGCCGATTTAAATAAACGGTCTGTATTACCGCTAACCTAAAATTTCAGATTTAAATCATACTTATTTAAATATATATTTTAGAAGAGAAATAATTATGAAGACTGTTAGATGAGAGAGAGAGAGAAAACGTTTTCAGATCAAGCATAAAATTATGTCCTTTTATCAACATTGTTCCAAATGTCATATTTAGACAGATTTCGAGAAGTGGGTTTCACCGAGAGGATTTTCACGAGTCTTTTGAGAACAGACAGATTGGTAGATCTGAAAAGTCTTATATTTATAGAGAATGAGATATAGATAGATTTGAAAAAGAGTGTGATAGATAGATAGATAGATAGATAGATAGATAGATAGATAGATAGATAGATAGATTAGAAAAGAGTGATAGATAGATTAGAAAAGAGAGATAGATAGATAGATAGATAGATAGATAGATAGATAGATAGATAGATAGATAGATTAGAAAAGAGTGATAGATAGATTAGAAAAGAGAGATAGATAGATAGATAGATAGATTAGAAAAGGGTGATAGATTAGAAAAGATAGATAGATAGATAGATAGATAGATAGATAGATAGATAGATTAGAAAAGAGTGATAGATAGATTAGAAAAGAGAGATAGATAGATGATAGATAGATTAGAAAGATAGATAGATTAGAAAGATAGATAGATAGATAGATAGATAGATAGATAGATAGATAGATAGATAGATAGATTGATAGATTAGATAGATAGATAGATAGATAGATTAGAAAAGAGTGATAGATAGATTAGAAAAGAGTGATAGATAGATAGATAGATAGATAGATAGATAGATAGATAGATTAGAAAAGAGTGATAGATAGATTAGAAAAGAGAGATAGATAGATAGATAGATTAGAAAAGAGTGATAGATTAGAAAAGATAGATAGATAGATAGATAGATAGATAGATAGATTAGAAAAGAGTGATAGATAGATTAGAAAAGAGAGATAGATAGATAGATAGATAGATAGATAGATAGATAGATAGATAGATTAGAAAAGAGTGATAGATAGATTAGAAAAGATAGATAGATAGATAGATAGATAGATAGATAGATTAGAAAGATGATAGATAGATTAGAAAGAGAGATAGATAGATAGATAGATAGATAGATGGATAGATAGATAGATAGATTAGAAAAGAGATAGATAGATTAGAAAAGATAGATAGATAGATAGATAGATAGATTATGAATGATAGATAGATATAGATTGGAAAAAGATAGATAGATAGATAGATAGATAGATAGATAGATAGATAGATAGATAGATTAGAAAAGAGTGATAGATAGACTGGAAAAGAGTGATAGATAGATAGATTAGAAAAGAGTAATAGATAGATAGATAGATAGATAGATAGATAGATAGATAGATAGATAGATTAGAAAAGAGTGATAGATAGATTGGAAAAGAGTGATAGATAGATAGATTAGAAAAGAGTAATAGATAGATAGATAGATAGATAGATAGATAGATAGATAGATAGATAGATTGGAAAAGATAGATAGATAGATAGATAGATAGATAGATAGATAGATTAGAAAAGAGTGATAGATAGACTGGAAAAGAGTGATAGATAGATAGATTAGAAAAGAGTAATAGATAGATAGATAGATAGATAGATAGATAGATAGATAGATTAGAAAAGAGTAATAGATAGATAGATAGATAGATAGATAGATAGATAGATAGATAGATAGATTAGAAAAGAGTGATAGATAGACTGGAAAAGAGTGATAGATAGATAGATTAGAAAAGAGTAATAGATAGATAGATAGATAGATAGATAGATAGATAGATAGATAGAAATTGAAAAAAGTAAGAATATTGGTTTGGCAACGTAAAACTTGCCTCCTCAGTCAGGATAAATTCTAACAGTCGACTCTGCATTTGTTTGCAAGAAGAACTATTAACTTGCATGTATGCAATTCGGCATTACCTTGTAGCTCTGTGTCAAATCCTATGGCGCGGGCAACGCAAATCAACAAGGCAACAATGGACTGTAAGAAAAATAAATGAATCCCTTGCTGTAGCCATTTGTTGGAAAAAGCAGAAAGCAATTACAGGTGGACGCCATGACACTTTTATTTGGAAGGGAAAACATAGATTCTCCTAAAGAAGTAGATAAATGACGCTTCTTTATGAATATGAGGACATTTATTCACGGCCACTTCTTCAAACATTAATTTACAACTCTCAGTGTGCGCATGTTCTACACGTACATATGATTGCATATAAAACTGAACATTTTTAGAACATCCACACACACAATCATAGGCTGAGCATTTTGGAAGAAATGGAATTCGTCGGCTGAAGCTAATTTACGCTAAATCTCTTAACTCTGAACTGAACCCTCTGATAGCCGGAAATGCTTATATCTCGTATATGATGCGTTAATAATTCCCTTTCTTGCCTATAGTCTAAGTGGCTGATGACAAATCAGACGGGTTTCACTGATGAGCTGTGATACAGTCAAACAGTCTGTCTGTGGATGACACACACAGACACACACACACACAAACACACACACACACACACATATATATATATATATGAAGAAATATACTCTTAAGGTGTGCTATATTTATGGGATAAAGTGCTCAATATCAGAGATAGAGCGTGTGTAAATATAAATGTGAAACCATCGTCTGATTCATATATATATATATATATATATAAATTCAAAAGTGAACATTGAAGTCAACACTTAGAGGCGACAGGCGGTTTCAATCTAGACGCAATCGTCAGGCTATATAAACTATTTACATTAATTGGACTATTGTCCTCATCTTTGTTGCCTGACGATTTAATCTTTATTTAAAAAAAAAAAACTATTATGTAATTTTTTGTAACTTTGTATAATATTTATGCATTACACCCTAATCTTTATCCGGTAAAAATTCCATTACTAATAACGCATTACTTTTTAAGTAATACACATATTTATGTCTTTATTGTTTCCGTTCCTTATATTATGGCCGCTACTGTATATATATATATATATATATATATATATATATATATATATATATATATATATATAAAAACTATTTACATTATTCGGACTAGTGTCTTCATCTTTGTTGCCATATTTATCAAAACGTTTCAGCCGTTGTACGTTCCGGCCTTCTTCAGGTGGTTGAAATGTCGAATTGAATCCTTTATTTCGCTCGCTGGGTTAGGTATTGCCAGGTATTGAATCCACTGTGCCATGTGTCCTTAAGAATACATGGCACAGTGGATAAAACGTTGGTTAGATCCAGTGACAGGACCCAAAGATTTGTGAGTTGTGTGTGTGTGTGTGTGTGTGTGTGTGTGTGTGTGTGTGTGTGTGTGTGTGTGTGTGTGTAGGTACATATGTGCATGTGTATGCAGGTATGTATGTATGTGATATATATATATATATATATATATATATATATATATATATATATATGTTGTACAGCATGATTTATTCCATTAGGTGTTTCAGTATTACTTACAGATTTTGGGAATCTATTCTTTAGATAATTTATCCTAATTTTCAATTGTTTTCTCATTCAATTCCCCATCACTTAATAATATAATTCCCTTATTGTCTAATTACAATTTATTGTCAATCCTATTAAAACATATGCGATTGATGTGGTGTGGTATCCTCGAGCACGAACCTAAATTCATTTACATACAACTAAAGGCTTTGACCATAAATAAACTCCAATTCCGCCCCATCTCTCCTTAGGGAGATACCTCACGCCCTCCCCTTGTTACCAACCCAGACTTCATATCAAAACGAGATGTCTCTTTGAGTAGGCCTGTACTTTCTCCTCGACTATCTAAACTGAATTCAAAACCCCCTGATTCCGAGACAGTCAGTCTAGGGCTGAAGAAGATTGGCATAAGGTTGTGCCGTTTTGAAATAGACTATACCCACATGAGATATTTTTTTTTTATTTTTTGCTATAATATATATATATATATATATATATATATATATATAATTATTTATTCGAAAATTATAACCTATATATATTATGACATCAATCATCAATACAAAAATAGCCATTTTTTTTCAACACTTCTGGTGTCTTATTAAGTGATGGTGTTGAATGTAGAATAAAGAGTTTTAAAAGGTTCAAATCAATCAAACATCCCTCGCTAGGAGAAATACTGTAAATATTGAGCTCTACATACAAAAATATCTGCTGTATCTTAAATCTTATATATATATATATATATATATAGGAATAGAGAGGGCGAGAGAAATAAGTAAATCACTTTGTTCATAAATAATGTTGAGAAAAAGATTCTTCAACATAATTTACTTTCTTGTTGTCAATATTAATCGCTTTGTTCAAACATTTTTTTCTTTTTTGTGTGTCGTGTCCCTTTAGAACATGGGAAATCATAAACAGTATTAACGACATTTACCGGCCTGAATGTCCGAGAAATTGTCATACAAAATATGCGTCCTCCGACAGGAATCGAACCTGTATCTGTAGCTCAATCGGTCAAAGCACGTCAGGCTATATGACGGTTCCATATAGGATACAAGTCCGATTCCTGTCGGAGGACGTATATTTTCTATGACAGTTTCTCGGACATTCAGGCCGCTAAATGCAGTTAATACTGTTTATTATAAACAAAGCAATTACTTAAATATTTGTATCTATAAAAAGAACTTCTAAAAACATAAAAAAAATAGATAGATAGATAGATAGATAGATAGATAGATAGATAGATAGATAGATAGATAGATAGAGTCCGGTAAATGTTAATACTGCCTATTATAAAGAGAGCATTTACTTAAATATTTGTATCTATAAAAAGTACGTACAAACATAAAAAATGTCTTAAAATAATTGTCAGAATTTGTCCATTTAATAATGTGTGACGTCATTTGTTTACAATTGGATACACATCAAGCAGATAAGAATGTACGAGAGAAAATCATGGAAGATTGTAGTTTAAAAACAGTAAAATCGACCTTGCTAACCGAAACGCTCCTCTGTGTCGAAATTGGTAAAAACACGTCAGGCTATATGACGGTTCCGTATAGGATACAGGTTCGATCCCTGTCAGAGGACGCATATTTTCTATAACAATTTCTCGGACATTCAAGCCGGTAAATGTTGTTAATACTGTTTATTATATACAGAACAGTTACTTAAATATGTGTATCTATAAAAAGAACGTATAGACATAAAAAATGTCTTAAAATAATTGTCGAACTTTGTCCATTTCATATTAATCGGGTTTCAAAACTAAACTACCTTGTTTCTACTCGCTTTCAAAATCGTAATTAAATTTATTTAATGATGTTTGCTTCTTTAATGTAATCTTTATAAGTAATACTTTATTTACTTTAAAAAAAACTAAATTCCTCTCCAAAATAAACAGTAAATAAGTATGTATCGAAGAAGTAAGGCTCTCTATAGCTTTTGCTTGAAAAAAATAATTAAATCAAATATGTTTAAATATATCTTAATTTAAGTTTATTTACTTTTTTATTAATAATAATTTGAAAAAAAGGTTAATGAACTTTTATCCAAGTTTGATTTATTTGAAAACAACATTAACAGAGTAGTCATGTTAGTATTCAAATCGAAAATATAAAGTTTCCTTTCGAATAAGGCCCCTAAGCCTCACCCACCGAGCGTGGTATTTATAGTGTGGTATTTTCATAAATTTAGTTTTTTTGTAACAAAAAAACAAAAAAAAAAACAATGAAGTTTATTTTTTAAAGATTGAATAAATAATTATTTTCCATAAGATGGCTGAAAAATATCAATAAATTGTCAATAATAAACAATTATTCAGAGATCTTCCGAACAACGCCGGGTATCCCCGCTAGTAAACAAATAAATAAATTTAAATCAAAAATGTTGAATCCAGGAACAAACGTAGAATTTCGAATCCAGGAACGAACCTGGAATTTTTAAGGTTATTTCTTGGATGTGTTGAACAGAATTTCCAGAAAGATTCTTTGACTTGTGATTGTCGCAATAAATAAGCAAACAATAAAAATAATAAAATCAAAACTGAAATAAACAGTCTAGAAACTGAATGTCCTCGAAAAGTGTGTTGCTTCTTTGCATTCCGAATGTAAAAAAATTTTTTTATATATATATATATATATATATATATATATATATATATATATATATATATATATATTCTATGTTAAATTTAGCATTACGATATGAGGACCATATATTATTATTAATGGGGCCTCCTCCTAAAGCCATTGATCCCTTTCACGTAAGTTTGAAGGAAGCGGAGGCGACTGCTACTGATAATAGAAAAGGGTGAACTTAAAACAGGAAATAGGCATGGAAATAGCTGAAAAACGAAATGCTCTTCGTCTCCTCAATGTCCTAGGCTAGCGGCGGGATAAATGCTTTCTGTCAGTAATGGAACTAATGGAAGACATGTACGTTTTTCTTGCACATTTTTGTAGTATTGACAGTGAGAGTACCTAAAGCGACAGGAAGCTGAAATGCATAAAAAAAAATCTACAAGCGAAGAATTGTTCTTCATGTTTTGTTTATTCTCGTCGTCATCACATAGGAAATTCTTCTCTTTCTGTGTCACAACCGTTCAACAACGTACAAACTAAACGTTAGTTTGTCAGCAAATACCGGCTGGCTGCTCGTATCCGAGTATATCTTTCTCCTAGAGCGGTTCGCCAGTCCCTGCTGCAGACGCCTGCCCAGACACGTTTGTGTTTGTTCAACATCCACAGAGTCCACCTGTAGTTCATACTACAACTGTGCAGAGAACGGTCCTTAGTCACAGTCTCTGGGAAAGAATGAATCATCTGATGGGATTAGCATCTTCAACAAGGCTAGTAAACACAAACCATCGAGATTACAGCCACATGACGTTGAAACACTGATCACCGAATTACGAAACGTTGAGCCTAGTCAGCACCTAGATAGGTGATCACTGGGGAATACCATGGGCTGAAAGCATGGATGTGCGGGTGGTGTAATGGATTACGACTCGGATTTGTTAATCGGAGAGTCGAGTTCCGATTCCCGTTGAGTTCGATATACTCACTTATTCACGCAAATACCTTTGGGAAATGTATGAATCCTCTTCTTCTACCCCCCAACTATGGGTTAATTAGTACGATGATATAATTAAAACCATTAATACCTAAACCCCAAAATAAAATTGTGTATTTAGATTTCGGCAATAAAAAAGTTACAGAAGTTGATATGCCACTGAAAAAAATAACCAATCAATCAGCTTTCTAACGATACACGATAATCGGCGCCTTTGCCTAAACTGAATTAGTATTTGCTTAGCTAAACCTAAGCAACCAATCAAAACTGAACACATTACGTAGCCATAACAACAATAGGACTCTCCCATTATATACATTGAGGCTGAATTTGGATATAACATCTGCGGCTATGATGTTTTATCTCGTACCGGATTTGCTCGTCATGGAAAATCACATGAAACTCAGCAGTCTTTTGCCGAGTATGTTAGTAATTAATTGATATGAATATTGATAGGTCGTGGTAGGAGTTGGGCGAAATACATATAAACAGAGCGCTTAGTTGAAGCGAGCAGTTGGAGCGAGAACCGAGAACTCGTCAGCAGCGGAAAAAGGAGCTGCTGAACCCTACGTGACCTGGTGCTGACAGAATTCCCGACCGACTACCTTGTGTATGTTTTAACCCGCTCCAAGTTTTACAAGAAAGCAATAAAGTGTCACGATAGAGAGTTTAATGGTAAGGATTAAATCTTGATGCATCAACGACAATATAAAAAAAACTGAAAATTGACCCGGCGACCTTCTTCCTTATTTGTTATGCTATTTGTATTTTCGCTAGTGGAAGCGTTCTTTGTCCTTTTGTAGCACGGTTCTGCCGCAGCTCGATTCAGTGCTCAATTAAGGACGAAATTCTGTCTTCACTACTCCGTGATCAAAGAACACAACGTGGGGCAGATGAAAAATAAACGAAGTGGATAGCAGATAACTATCAGTTGACCGTCGGCAGTACTGACCAGCGTGGAAAGGACCCAGAATCATGCCGGGCCGTGTTATACTGATACCTTAATGATGCTTCGTATATATGAATTTCACTAAAGTGAAAACTGTCCAAGATTGCCGATGAAGCCAGACTAAAAGACAAAGTGCAGAACCAAGATGTCAAAACTCTTGTTGAAAACAATTGTATTATCTACAGTTGTCTAATATTAATTATTCCCCTCAAGCAAGACAATAAAGCCACTAAGACGCAAGGGGTTTACTGAGTGTTAGAGAAAAAGAAAACGGTATTAAAGAGAGATAACAATAAAAAAAATATACAAATCAAGAAGACAGAAAACAACGAATGATATTACATTTAAATTTTTGAAGATGAAAGTTGATTGGAAAGAAACTGGAAGAGAGTTCCATAAGAAATAACTGTGTGAGAAGAAGCTGTTAGCATAGAACATCTGGCCATTTCAACTGTAAGATGGTCAGAAATTGCCGCCAATCTAATAGTACACTTAAATTCATAAAGTCTAGGTATCAATCAGTAAAGCTCATGAAACAATTACCATGATAACATTCATAGAATAGACATAGGGAAGCTATGTTACGGCCGATGGTAAGTGAATGAAGTCGAGATGCCATGTCAGGACCAATAACATTGCAGATTCGTCTTTCTATTTTATCTAGAATCTCTAGATACATAGTTTAAAGTAGATGGTGCATTGTTGTATAGAGACTAGGTTATATTTGTTATTCATGTACATTTGTGGCTAGTCAGTCTTCAACGTTTATGTGTGTAATAGTTAGTTAACTAAGGAGTATTCCGTTTAACAATGGCAAGATATTCATATCGTGAGCAAACAGATATGATTTTTGCATACGGGCCCGCGACTGGTAAGAGATGCGATACCGCACATCTGTATCAAATTGCGCTTCCAGGCCGAAACCAACCGATTCTCACCCGAACTTCACTGCTGTTTATCGTCGCGTTGCTGGGACAGAATCCGGTTAGGCTTGGTTAAATAATTTAGACATATGATGTCGATTAGTTTTCGTTCTGATCCTTTCCAGTTCATGGATTAAATTCTTGGTTGGCTTAGAAAATTGATTAAGAAAAATACCAAAATTATCTTTCAAATAATTTTTATTTTCCCAAGTACTTTCAGTCTCATCTGAGACCATCTTCAGGGGGTAAAGTTTTCTGTGAGTATGAATAAATACATATATGTAATGTTTATGTGCTGAGTTAAATGAGAGAATGTGTATAGTTATTAACATATAGTTGATAGCTCTGTTATATTGCATCGACAACTATTTTATTAAGACCAGCACTCAATGTGCAATATTATATATATAGCATGCTAGTTAACATTCGTGTCAGTCAGCTGTTGGCTCTCACGCTGGCCAATAGAACCTTCCTGCCTATTCGTAGCAGACAGTTATTGGTTCTCACTCTGGCCAGTACAAAATGGCCGCAAACTACATGAAAACTGCTGTAGAAGCATGAAAAAATCGATTATTTCCACCATCGATGGGAGTTGGGAAATGCAAAGTCGGTCTTGGCCTTTCCACTAACTTGGAGCATGTGCACGTAAATTTTGGTGCAAATCCGTCGAAAATTGCGGCCGTGCATTCGTTACACACACACACACACACACACACACACATCCTGCCTGCTATATATATATATATATATATATATATATATATATATAATGTTGACAGTAAGCTTAAAAAAAATATATGCAATATCAAACCATAACGAAGACTGCAGCAGAAAGCAAACATTTTGTAATTTTCCGCAAGACTTGTGTGTTTTCATATATAAATAATAAAAAATGACACACAAACACACACCAACACATATATATCAATAAATATGTGTGTGCGTGTTGTGTGTGAGTGAAAGAGAGAGAGAGAGAGAGAGAGTAGAAAAAAGAAAGGAAAAGAGTAGTGAGAGAGTATAAGAGGAGACAACAAAATGATGAAATGGAGAAATAACAATGACATTCAACACACATTCAAATACACAAGCGCATACACAAAAACATATACGCACGCACACACGCAAAGAGAAAGAAAAATCAACCTCACACCAATAATTAACGCATAAATAATGTTACTTAATATAAAAAATAACAAAATGAGAAAATCTGCATTCAATTACTGAAACCTCCTGACGAGTGGACTGAACGGTTACTAAAATGTTCGTCTGTGAAACTCCAGAAACGAAGTGCTAAATATAACATCAATCCCCTGATATTTATCAAGTGATAAATTTTATTTTCGTTTGTAATAATCCTAATCTTTTGCGAACTGTAACAATGAAAGAAAATAATCTATTAATGCCAGGAAAGTTTAAACTCTACTGCTGCAACAATGACGTCCTCACTGAGTTCCCTATAAATCAATGAATATATTAATCAAAGCAGACCGAAGATGGTTCTTGAATGCACATTGAAAATGAAAGCCAGAGTATGAATATTCGTACCATTACAGAAGGCTTAAATAATCATTTTCCTGTCACCATTCCTCAGTTAGTAAGATCTAGTGGGGCTGACACAAAACGATTTAACCCGTTCCCTTTCTAGATGAATAATTCAAAGAATTTTTTCAGTGATTCTTACGACAAATGGTGCCAAGACGGCTAAACATCTTATCTGAATAAAAAAAAAATCAATTAGTTTTGTGGTTTTTTTTTTTAAAGATATTAAACATTTTGTGGGAAGGAATATTATGCTATGTTGATACACGGTTTGAACAATTTTGCTGTTACAGACTTAAATTTCTCATTAAATTTTTTATGAATAAATCTTATTTTGCTCAACAATACGCCTGTTTAGTTCCATTTGTTTAGGCTATTGAGTTACCCAGACATTTACAATCTCACATAATATCAAATTTATTTAAATGCTATGTAAACTTTCAACTCATTGTATGAGTTGGCGTACAGCTTTATCAAATCTATGAAGAAACTGTCCATATTTCATAATGATTTTACTTCGACTGTTTTCGTTCTTGGGAGTCATGTTGAAAAATATTAATATCATCGGTTTGTCAAATTTCTAAAAAGGTTTAATTAATTTAATTCTGATATTTGTATAGAGAAAAGTTAATGATGCTATTAGCAATGATGAAAACGTAACGGAAGAACGAAGTTCAAGGAACGTAGTTTGTTTACTTTGCATTTATGTTCTTCTGAAAGCATTGGTTTCATACTCCTCAACTATGGGTTAAATGACATGAACGCTGTTGATCTTTAGACTGGGTTGAAAGACAGTCTAGGTGAAATACAGATTAGAAATCAAAACTGCGGAAGAAATCAACAAATAACTACTGGTTTGTCATGAATATTGCACGCTTCATTGATATTAGAAAAAGAGGAGAGCCATAATCTTGGACTTCTTCTGTGTTATTTCCTCGCTCTTGAAATCGCCTATCTTTTACACAAACATACACATTTGTTGCGTCGCAGACCGAGGTGTGCTGCCTTACCAAAATAAATAGTCGATTAATTCCTTGCAAAAAGGTTCTTTATAAAAGACTTTTATGAGAGCATAAACTTTAGTAAATAATTACATGCCCATCTTCGCGTGATAAAAAAAAAGAAGTTATTTTTTATTATATTAATATTTACTAGTGATAAAGGAATTTGCAGTGGTGTATTTATCGAATAATGTTGCCCTTTAGAGAAGATAAAAGCTCCATTTTGTAGCGTTGGCGATACACCTGCATATTAAAAGCATTTTGCTCCGTGATAAGGTTTTTTTTTTTCTCTAGAAAATTACACATGTATTTTACGATAAATAATTCGAATATAACTTTCTGGAAATAACACGGCAGACATGCATCATAGTGGACGAGAAACGCAGAATAATTGGCAATAATTTTACGATCTTCTGGAATAGGAATTAAAGTGAAAGCCGAAAAAATATGAACATATTGAAATGATTGATTCTAGACGTCCATTAACAAGCATGTATAGAATTAACAATATATATATATATATATATATATATATATATATATATATATATATATATATATATATATATATGTGTGTGTGTGTGTGTGTGAATACATAGGCATATATAAATATATGTACGCATGTATTTATATATATATATATATATATGCATGTACACAAATGCATATGTATATATATGTGCATGCATGTATATATATATATATATATATGTGTGTGTATATATATACATTCTTACATATATATATATATATATATATGAATATATGCATATATATATACGCATGTATGTATATATATGCATGCATATATATATGTGTGCATATGTATATATATATGTATATGTATGCATGTATATATATACATGTATACATGTGTATAAATATATACAAATATAGGCATATATATATATATATATATATATATATATGTATATATATATATATATATATATATATATATATATATACTAATTATCTACATCTATATATATATATATATATATATATATATATATATATATATATATATATATATATATACTAATTATCTTATAAATATAAGCAGCTATACTCATCCGGCAAAATCTTAGGTGTTTTAGTTTGTAAATGAACAAACCAATACCCAAGGGGAAAAAAGGGAAAAAAAAGAAAGAACTAAGAACATGTATTTCCGGCAAAAATAATCGTCTAGAATCTAAAGTTCAGAGTCCAAAGAAAAAAATCTCCGACACAAGTAAAGTAAAATACCTAAGCAGAGCAATGTAAAATAACCTACGCGGATCATATGGACAAACTGGCCAGTTTACCTGACGATCCGCGTAGGTGAAACCTAAATAGGTTTGTCTGGCTCTGTACGTTTACTTATATATATATATATATATATATATATATATATATATATATATATATATGCATCTATATATATATGTATATATATATGTTAAAATAGATTTTGTTAAATAATTTAGATATCGATTAGTTTTTGTTGTGAAGCTTTCGAGTTCACGGTTTAATTTCTTTATAGACTTAGAAAATTGATTAAGAAAAATACCAAAATGTTCTTTCAAATAGTTTTTATTTTCCCAAGTACATTCAATCTCATCTGAGACCATCTTCAGGAGTTTTAATTGTCTATGAGTATGTATATGTGTTTTTGTAAATTAAAGACATTTCATCTGTTAGTTTTTACTGCTTATACAGCTTTCTAGATTTAAAATCTCACGTGTTTTTTGTTTTTTATGTACAGTATAAGGAAAATAACTTTTCCATTTTTAGCTCATAAATAATTTTGTTTTATATGCATTTAAGGACTTCTTTGCCATACCAAATGTTAACTATTTATTTTGGGTTTTAATTCTCTTCCAGCGCTTCAAGGAATTTTAGTTTTTGTTTATTATTGTTATTATGTAATATAGATGTATTTCAATTAACATCCTTCTAATCTGTGAGTGTGGGCATAAGTGTTCCTTAAAATGCTGAGATATTGAACTCTGCTCAGCCGAATGAAATGTAAGCCTTTTTGTTAGCAAAAGCCAAAGTATGTATTCAAAATTGTATTCAAATTTTTATGAGATAGAATCTCCTCAAGTACATTTAAATTCTTATACAGTGGTGGCCTTTTCAAAGATTCTAGTTGGCAGAGAAGAATTGTTTTAGCCAACTTGGTTGTTTGTATTAAATTTAGTATAGTATGTAATTAATTTTATCCATTTACTTGGATCAATGGAAAATATATTAGTATTTATGAGGGTTTTTTAAAATATTTTCCTCCTGTTTATAGTTGGGATACATTTGATTACGATATATTAATTTGATATGTTTACAGTTATTTGATGATGTATTTGTATTCATTTTTATTTATATTAATATTCCTAATAACTTGTCTAATTTGTCCATCAACAATGTGATTTGAGAAGCCATTGTTAATTATGGTTTGTTTAATATTTTTTTAATTCAGTGTAGAAAATCTTTATGTCGAAGGATTTGATTTTGCACGGTTTATTACGTTTCGTCTAATAGCTATTTTGTACTAGTTAGGACATTCAGTTTTATAGTTATATATTTATTAATATATTTTGTACTACTTAGGACATTCAATTTTATAGTTACATATTTATTAATATATTTTGTACTAGTTAGGACATTCAATTTTATAGTTACATATTTATTAATATATTTTGTACTAGTTAGGACATTCATTTTTATAGTTACATATTTATTAATATATTTTGTACTAGTTAGGACATTCAATTTTATAGTTATATATTTATTAAAATATTTTTTACTAGTTAAGACATTCAATTTCATAGTTACATATTTATTAATATATTTTGTACGAGTTAGGACATTCAATTTTATAGTTATATATTTATTAATATATATAATGTTTGAACAATAAAAAATATTAAAAAATTAAAATTTTCAGACACACTGGGTTGTATTTTAATATTTTATGTTTTATTATTTCAATTAGGTTTTTCGATTACTTTCGGCCAGTATCGACCATCATCAGGAGAAAAGAAAACCTGCTTGTTAGTAGCAATGAATTACAAGAGTGAAGAACTGTTTCAAGAGAAAGTAAACTTTATCTGTAATTTTCATTTGTTTTTTTTTTTGTTTTTTTCGTTGTTAATTTTGTTCAGTCCTTGTGTTGATCAAACGACCTTCTTCAAGTTGTTTGTAAGATAGATTTTACGCCAACTATTAAGAACAGTTTCAGATGTTACAACAACAGCTATTGACACCAATGACTGCACAGATCCAGAATCAACTCGAAAATTTCCACGTCGGAACAAAGCAATATACCAATTCAGCAAATATCTTGGCCAGCAATATCACAGAAGGCGTCTATAACCCACCGAGCCGAAAAAAAAATACTAGCTTCGGGATTTAAACGTTGAATGGATACCTTTCACGGTGACAAAGATGAAAAATGTAAAATTCGTCTCCTAGCTCGTAAACTGGGCACTAAGGAACATGACCGTTGTACAAATTATATTTTACCAAAATAAGCAACGGATTTCACCTGGACTGAAACAGTGGAACAACTCTGTCAAGTATTAGGAGTAAAACATTTTTTGTTTAATATTAGATTCATTTGTTTAAAGCTAACGGAAGATGACGCTGGCGATTACGTGACATATGCTGGTCACGTCAATTGTAAATGTAAAAAATTTAAATTAAATTCCCTCACAGAAGAACAGTTTAAATGTTTGATTTTTATCGCAGGATTAAAATCTTCTATTCATGCTGATGTTTGCACCCAACTTCTTTCGAAACAGGAACAGGACAAAGACTTTACTTTAAAAGCCTTCCCCACTAATATAACTATAAAAAGAGACACTATGCCTATACAAAAAGATGATTTTTTTTTATGAATAATCAAGAGTGTTCTCTCCTTGTTTTGTTACTCTCCTCTCTGAGAAAGATATTTCTGTTTACTGGGACTGTAAAAGGACACTATACGCGAACCTTGTATTTTCAGTTGAATAAAACTTTCTTAAAGCCTACACCTGCGTAATTTTGTCATTACAGATTTGTCAATAACCAGCAACAACCACGCGAGAAAAAAAACGTGATGAAAAGAAACCTCCTTCAAAGTGTTAGCATCTGGCATCAAGCACGTTTTGTCCGTTCAAAAAACATGAATGCAATATTTGTCACTGAACAGGGCAAAAAAGGATTTTGCAATCCAGATTCACGCAAAAATTCAACCCGAAATGTTTAAGAAACGAAACAGGAAAAAGTCCGAAAGAAACATTGTGTTTGCGACGTTTAAAGTGAATTACAAATCCAGCAGAAAATATATTGTTGCTTCTATAATCAACAAAACAGTTTATTTTTAGTTTGATACAGCGTCGGCCATCATCTTAATATAGCATTCGAATTAGGAACAAATTGAAAAGCCACATATATTTAAAACAGATCGCATAGAAATGTTCGCATCTGGGAGTACAATTCGTTTAACTGCTGAGTTATCTTGCAATGTTTCCTTTCGAAATAGAACCTTTTTCTGGTGTGTTATGTCACAGATAATTTGAAATTAAATTTGATTGGACTTGACTGGATAGAAAAACCTAACCTTTTTGAAATTCGCCTTAAATCTGTGTTCAATATATTTAACCTCACGTCAGTTTCTCTTATTAAAAATCATTTCACGGACGAACTTAAAAATAAGTTTCGTGACGTTTTTCAGGATCAACTTGGGTACTGTAGAGAATATCCCATGAAAACTACACTCCGTCCCTGGCCAATCCCTGGATTACCTTTGTCACATCTTCATATTGACTTTGCTGGAGCCATCAAGGAGCAGTATTATTTTAGCCTCGTTGATGCTTACAGCAAATGGCCACAAATCTTTCAAATGAATCGCATCACATCGGATGAAACAATTCTTAAGTTAAAACAAATCAAATTTTCAGTCGATTTGGAGTCCCACAGATACTAGTTGCTGATAATGGCATTGCATTCACTTCGGCCGTATTTCTAACTTTCTGTGTAGAGAATGCTATTCAACATATTAGGACACAAACTTTCTTACACAATCAGAGACGTGTGAAACGTTTTGTCGATACCTTTAAGTGAGCCCACCTCAAACTCGGAGAGGAGGAAACCACCAAAGAAATATTTCTTGTGTATTACAGAGCTACATCCAATCCAAACACAGATAATGAAAATTTATCTGCAGAATCACTAGTCAACCGTAAATTTCGTTAACACATAGATGCCATCCAGCCAACCATAAATCATTCCCTAAAATGGAACACGGTAATGGAAGTACAATTTAACAGTCATCATGAAGCAGTGAAACACAGATATGTACCAGGACAACGTGTACTTGCAGAAGATTAGCGCAACGGTAAAGAAAAAATAGATCCAAGGACACACGTCGCTATGGAAATGTTCCGTATGACTTGGATATACAGACTTCAGTTTGGGTTCGACATGTAAATCAATTACGACCATCAAACCTTCCAGAGATCAAATTAAACTTCACTTTACCATTCACTTTGACATTCTGTTGGGCACCATCGAACTACCTCAACAAAGTTCTCAAATAATACCAAGTGACAAAGATAGGACACCAGCAAAAAGACCACCAAGAACACCTCATCGACAACGAAGTAAGCCATACCCACTGCAAGTAAATCCCATACAAAAATCAAACGATCACAAGGCTCTAAAGGTTAGGTGTTAGCGGTGCTTACTTACTTCCTCCTATAAAGGACGATAACTCAAAATACAAGTGCTAAGGTGACGTGCACGGGAAACTCATGGTTTAAACCCAAACTAATACTTCCTCTTCTCAGTCAGTAAATAAATAAAAGTTATGTCATTATGTGTTAAAATAGACTCGTCTTTATTCTCATTCGATTTTGTTCATCCCAACAACCTGGCATATAACAGCCCCTAAACTAAAGAAAAAAATATCGACAATGGCTGACCAGCCTAATTCTGGAAAAAAAACGTTTTTAAGGTAAGCAATCTTTGTCATTATAGTGTTCGAGAGGAAGACACATTATTAATAATATATTGAAATTAAATATTCATTATTCTTTTTTTTCTAAAAATTTAGATAGGGACAAATATATTTAATATCTAATAAGGTACAAATTATAAGAACCCTTCACTAGTCTAAGAATTTCCTTAAAACATTTTACAAAAATCCCTATCCATAACATAACTTCTTTGCTACACATAAAGTCCAAATCAAAATTTGCATTAATATATAACTTCGATTTTAGCAAAAATCATCGAAGAGAAATAATCGAACAAATTTTACATTAAAATAAAGACTACAAATAAAAAAATTACGTTTATGTTATAAATTAATGTTTTTCGGGAAAATTAATACGGTTTAAGAAAAGTATGTTATCAAAAAATAAATTTAATTTTAAAATAGAGTATAAGAAATAGTTTCTGTAATTTTCGTAAAACTAGGTCATTTAATTTTATTTTCGAATTATTATAATTATTTATTAGTATATATATATATATATATATATATATATATATATATATAGAGAGAGAGAGAGAGAGAGAGAGATAAACATACATTGAATCAGTTAGCAATATTAATGCAATTAATGGCGACATCTCTTCGCTAACAGAATATAGGCATTAAACTACTAACAATCCACTGAATGGTGCGATCCTTATGTATAAAATTGTTGTCAGATGGATCTGGTGTATTTTTTAGAGCAGCAAGTACTTTCAAGGACTTCATTTCTTCATCATCAGGCTGTAATTTTTTCTTTTAAAATCAAAACTTGAAGACGAAATAAATGTGTTGTAGACCGAAAGATGTTTTTATAAGAATATGTTAACGGTTATATAATAGTGTATAGGGGCGACAGATTGTTGTTCATGCATATATTGTTAAATATAACAGACAACCACGCTCTCCCGTAGACTTACCTGTCACCTTTCTGCTTTCTGATCTTAGTTCCATTGAACAACATTTCTTAGAAAAGCATAGCCATGTACATAATATTAGAGAGATATTAGTTGATAACACAAAAATACTCACACATGCACACAGTAAAAAGAACCTTCAGATATTAGAAGCCATCTACATTGAAACAAAGCGAACTACACTCAACAAAATTACATTTCAAACTAGTCACAACACATTACAATGTATTTAAACAAACATATGTTTCTCTTGATAACATTTCTTTCTTTCACGTAGTCATGTACGACGTCATAGAACCACATTACGAATTTACGGCCTGCGTCTGCTATTCCGCGACCGTTATCGTCATATAATCAAAAATTCGATGGTGAAAATCCCTGTTGTAATGTCCATATAACCACTCTGAGGATTGCGTCATGTGAGCCAAAAGTTTACATCGAGGACCAATCTAATAAAGAAATATCCAAATGTTGGGTGGTTTTTATCTTTATTTTCTTGAAATTAAAGCCATTATACGACGCTTGGAAAGACTCATGATAAAACACAATAGACATTCATTGTCTGTTATATTTAACAATATATATTTAACAATATATATTTAACAATATATATATATATATATATATATATATATATATATATATGGGATCCAGAATTAATTTCAACTTGGAACTTATTTCAACTCGGAAGTTCATTTTCTGTTGTTTGTTCATATCTATCTATCTATTGTTTGTTCATGCCTATCTATCGTTTGTTCATATCTATCTATCTATCTATCTATCTATCTATCTATCTATCTATCTATCTATCGTTTATTCATATCTATCTACTGTTTGTTCATATCTGTCTAGGTATTTATTGTTTGTTTATATCGTTCTGACTATCTATCTATCCTTTGTTCCTATCTATCTATCTGTCGTTTATTTATATCTATCTGTCTATCTATTGTTTGTTCATATCTATCTATCTATCTATCTATCTTCTTTTTTTTTAAGCATTTCACCCCAAGCAAGGCGGGAAGCCACTAGGACGCAAGGGGTTACAGAAAATTTAGAGCAAGATCAGATAGGAGTGATAGAAGAAAGGATGAGGGTAGTGGATATATAAAGGCAACTGGAGATGTCGATTGACATTACACTTGAATAGCTGGAGATTATAGCTCACAGGAAACAGGAATAGGGAAGGGAGTTCCACAGGCGAGAGGTGCGAGACATGAAGCTATTAGAGTAGAAGAGACGGCTACATTTAGGAGTTTCGACAGTGAAGGGGTGAGAGCGGGATGCCAGCATCTATCTATCTATCTATCTATCTATCTATCTATCTATCTATCTATTGTTTGTTTGTTCATGTCTATCTAGCTATTTATTGTTTGTTCATATCTATCTATCGTTTGTTCATATCTATCTATCTAGCTAGCTAGCTATCTATCGTTTATTTATATCTATCTACTGTTTGTTCATATCTGTCTAGGTATTTATTGTTTGTTTATATCGTTCTGTCTGTCTATCTATCTATCGTTTGTTCATATCTATCTATCTATCTGTTGTTTATTTATATCTATCTATCAGTCACTCTATTGTTTGTTCATATATACCTAGTTCTCTGTTGTTTGTACATATTTATCTAGTTATTAGTGTTTGTACATATCTATCGAGCTATCTCTCTATTTATCTATCGTTTGTTCATTTGTTTATCTACCTATCGTTTACTTATATATATATCAATCTACTGTTTGTTCATATCTATCCAGCTATATATTGTTTGTTCATATCTATCTAGCTATATATTGTTTCTCCATATCTATCTATCGTTTGCTCATATCTATCTATCTACCTACCGTTTATTCATATCTATCTATTTATTGTTGTCCATAACTATCTATCTCGTATAGTGAATTATTAAATAATTCAAAAGGGAAACAGAATCGTTACACAAATTCGAATTTCAATTAAAACTGTGTATCTCATTTAATTATATTTGAAAATGCATGGACCCATCAATTTCACGAGTTTGTCTAGCATCGTGTTAGATTTCCCCTAAGGACTGCCGCCGTTGCAATATTATGCCAGATCTAGCTTAGCTTCTCAAATTCCTATTTCCGAAATTCAAAATTGGCAGATTTCACCAGCACTAGTCATTAACGACAACAATCATTTTCCACATATCACACCATCCTTCGCGTTAGTGAATACCGGAGTATGACGCCCGAGGCACTCTTGGAGTAAAATTACAAAATGAAAATTCCCTCTTTATTTCAGAACCCAAGAACCACCAAAGACTATATAACCTTTGTGTACATCACCATGAGAATATTAATGTTTTTTTTTTTACAATGATGTTCACCCTCTATAAGACCCGAGAGCCAGTCGAGGTAGACTGTTATAGAGTAAGAGGCACATTTTATGCGGATAAATCAGTTAATCCTAGACTTGAACAGGCTAAGGTTGTAGTGGTCGGGAAAAGCATTCTCTTGGGAGTCGGTTCCCCAAAACAGCGGTTAGTGTGATGAAGCTGCTCGATTGGAACATACATCCCACCAATGAAATTTGAAAGGAATGACTAGTTTTCTACAATGGGTGTGATGTGTCAGGTCTTAGCCGTGAAGTTTAGAACTGGTGAAACTAAGGAATCTACATCGTCTAAACACTTTCCATGGAAATAACCAGACAGCAGTGAGAAGCTTGAGAGGTTTCGTCTTTGAGAAAGGGATTGGTTGGGTGGGAAATAATTCAGCGGTCACAACGGCGCAGAGACGATCTTGAACTCTGAGAGTAGAATGTGAAGACGGGGCACCTCCTGTCCATATATGGTAGCGGTACTTCATTTTCGGTCTGATCTAGCTCTTGTAAAGGCAAAAGATAGCGGAGATGCTTTTGGGCTTTATCGAGACTGTAAAATGAAAACTGTTCAGCTCCTGTCCATATATGGCAGCAATACTCCATTTTCGGCTTGACCTCTCTCTTGTAAAAGGTAGAGAATAGCATGAGCAGTCAGACACTTACTGGAGCGGTACTGGGCACCGAAGGTTTTGTACAGTATCTTTAACAATGCATCGTATGTACGAGTTCCACTTGAGGTCTGGGTTGAGTTTAAGTTCGTTCATGGCAAGTAGCTAGAGTTATGGGTCCGAAAAGAACCACCTTTCATTCGTCTTAAGAACAAGAAAATGCCGTGTTCATCGGAGGCTAGTTTGGGAAGCGTTCGATCGAATCACGATTTCTCTTTTTCGGTTATATAATTGTCCTCTCATCACGTAGCATATCACCGTGAACCATGCATCTGACAATTGATTATACTATCTTATAGTACTCGACGATGGCTGTCATCAACTTGCTGACCTTGTGTTTGATAAGGTCTTCACCTTCTGGATAAACTTCTGCGGGCGTATGCTGATCGTGTTTTAGGTCGGAAAACACGTGTCTTCTAGAAGATATTTCCCACAACAAGAATTAAGGACAAAGAATGTGAGTCCGGGTAATAAATGAAGAAATTAAAACAAAAAAAAAACATATATATATATATATATATAAACAAACGATAAGTCTGTATTAACAAAACAAGGGTATACATAGAAAATGAATATTGTTGCATGTTAAAAAAACAATGAACATAAATGCAGAAAACATATTAACTAGTGAAATGCTAATACTTAAGACAAGAACAACTGTGACGTCGTCCCCCGGTCGCAGCGCCGACTGTGACGTTCTATCCTGATCAACCACGGCGCCAGTTGTGACATCCCTAAACAGCACCAATAGTGACGTCTTCGCCGCGGCGTCAGCTGTTCGCTCCTCGCCGCCCCGTCCGGGTGTCGCTGCTCCAACGTGACGTTCTAACCCTTTGGTGATTCGGGTAGGCATCTGGTTAGATTGATACCAGCCTCGCCGTTCCCAACCTGCTTCCAACGCCTGGTTACCAGGGTAACTGCACTGATCTCCAGTCTGCCTACCCACGCTGTGAATTGATCCTAGACAGACGAGATCAACAGGGGTTGGGGCCGTAATGCAAGCTGAGTTCAACGGGGGTGATAATACACAAATATGTATAAAAGAAAAGAAAATGAAAACTCACAAAGTTCAAGGTATCAAAGAAAAAGGTAACAAACTTTTTATGTCTATTTGTTCGGTACATAGGACTATGTCTACTTCCCGACCCGTTCTGTGGATTGTGGCACGACGCTTTCGCTAGGCAAATTCTAACGCTTCAAGTTGTCTACTCTCTAAGAAATATGTGTTTCGGTGTGTCTTTGGACGAAAGTCGAAAAACTTATTTCTGTGGTCTGGTCCTAAGTCGCTCTTCAAACTACTTGTTCTTGGTTGAAGAAGAGTCCAAAAGTGTGCGTGAATCTTGGTCAGCTATCTTGATGTGGTTTGAACACTGGGCGCTCATCTCTGCCTGTCGTCCGGAGCTCAAAACTTCTCGCCAGGGTCCTCGGCTGAACTCAAACTTCTTCTCTCCAGCTTGGGTCGAACGAACTTCTTCTCGCCCGCTTAGGGCGAACGAACTCTCGGCACTCAGGCCAAACGAACTGGCCTCTTCTGCCCGCTTGGGGCGAACGAACTGATTTCTGTCGGTTGGGGTCTCGCTTTTATTGACGCCATCAAAACTGGGGTGGGTCTGTCGGCACCAGGGGTTCTTCGATAATTCTAAATACGTATCCACCCTTCTTATTTCTGGTTAGGGATTTTTTTACCCCTTTCCATTTTCGGTAACTTTCCTCTCACTCCCACTCTCTTACTGTGCTTCTGAGGAGCGTGCACTAACTTCCCCACTTCTTCGTATCGGCTCCTCACACTTACACTTCTGATAGAGGCGTCGACCGATTTTCTTCGTGCGTCACGTGACCGCTCTCGGCCAATGAGGTCCTGGTCGGGTATCTTTCCTCCTCCTTCGTGCGTCATGTGATCTACTTGGCCAATGACGTCTTAGTCGGGTATCTTTCCTCCTTCTTCGTACGTCATGTGATCTACTTGGCCAATGACGTCTTAGTCGGGCGTGAACAATCCGCGGTTTTGTTTAGGGAAAGAAATACCTTGCTTAACAAAAAAAATATTAATTAAATCGCCCTTATCATGAGCGACTGAGATGACACTCTCGGCTTTTTAACACGTGGTATTTGTCAAGTAGTTTATCGCTAATTGGACATGACCCAAGAAAGGAATTCCCTAGGCTAGCTGGCGTTTCTGAGGCCAAATAAAAATATTTCATTTTCCTTTCGGCTCATGTGTTGATAACGAAAATCTTTATTATCGCAGGGCAAGCGTTTATCTGTCAAAAGAAAGAAAAATTTTGCCAGTGAAAACTTCTTGGGTGGGATTTCTCTAATTCTGAAGACTGTGTTTCGTCAATGTTCAACAATGGTCTTTCTTTCCCTTGGGTGACATCCAATTGATAACAAAATTCCATTTTTCGTGCACACGCGGAAATCGGTCAACGCTTGTTCGTAGGTGACCTAGATATTTTCGACATCTGATATCTATCAACAATAACGTTCTTCCTCCTCATTTCCGTCTCTTAAGCCGTGTGTGTGTGTGTGTGTTCGCCTATGACCCGTCTGGTATTACTTTTTCTTTCTTTCTTTCTTCGTTTTCTCTTTCTTTCTCCCAAATCGCTTGAATGCAAAGAAAGAATTATTCTTAAAACCTATAATATTTTTCGGCCTTAATTATTCCGATAATTATTAAATGGTTGATAAGCCGTAAAAAACAAATCATATATCTATGAATATTTCTTTCAAATCGTCAGGGTGCATGGTGCCACACAACACATAAGATTCGCCAGCGGCGCGTAGAAGTCGTCAACTGCTAGCAGTGAGTCAAGTGAATTTCACAATGAATCTCCAACTGCAGGAAATCTACCAAACCGCGCCAAGCGGTCAGATGTGGCACAAGCCCGAATTTAATATGGGCTATCCGATCCCGTAGGCTCGGCCAAACATTCCCCGTAAACTCCGTATACAACGGAGTCGGGTAGCTATTTCTCGAGCCGAGATTCTGCCCTTTGACATAACCTCGTCTGGGGATCCTCCCTGCCCGGAGGCAGAGAGCTTGGCCAGTTCAGCTGAAAACGAATCTCCGACTACAGACCAACATACAGTATTTACTACTGTATTTATGTGAATGGGGACATACCCATTATCATCCATAGGTATGCTACAGCAGAATAGTAATGGAAAGTGAAGAGAACGGTTCTGGCGTGTGTGTGTGTGTGTGTGTGTGTGTGTGTGTGTGTGTATGTGTGTGTGCGTACCTTGGTGTGGGCCGCATTTTTTTTCACGTTGTGACCTAAATCTTACCGTCTCCGGGTGAAATAGCCAAAAGAGAATGACGGAGAAAATTATACCCTATTCATAGGCTTAAGGAGCATCCTCTAGTGACGTTTTTTTTACGAAAGTAAGTGGGGTAACTCCACAACAGCATATTTTTTAGAACTATCCCAGAAGCCGCCCTTCGAGGGAACTTTAGGCTAGCTCCCTTTTTTACCTTTAGTGCCCTGTGTAAGTAAAAGTTATAAGAATTTAGACATAATACAATTGTCTTATCTTTAATCGTCACCTCATTTCAGTATAATCTTTCTTTTTATACGAAACCGATCTCTGTAGTTTGTTGACATTTATTTTGTGCACAATTCTTATTTTCATTTAAAATCAGCAATTTTTATGATTCCTTCACATAAAGACACTCTTAAAATATATTAAGGAGACCGAACTATGTAATATTTCTAATACGTCACAGTACGTGTGCTAGAAAAAACATGAACAACGTACCATGTCCCTCTCAAGTTTTAATTAAGGTTTAATAAGACGATATCGATTGCAATTGCGACGAAAAGCGAAATTAAAGTTAAACTTTTAATAAGGAAGTTTTTAATTGTACATTGCGCTTTATTTAT